GCATCTCAAATTTCTTACGTCTATATTACTTCCAAACAAAATAGCTTTCGTTTTTGATGGATTTACAACTAATGCATTCTTATGTGCCCATTCAATAACGTTAATAAGATCCCGAATAATTTTTCTCAACGCTAAGTCAAAGTTATACCAGAGAAACTATAGTTATTCTTGAATGTCACACAACGAATCTGCATAACACTTGTCAAATCAAATGTATAAATGGGATACAACAGTGGTCCAAGAATCGACCCCTGTGGTACCCCCAGATCGTATCTGTCTTGGTTCTGAGAACTTAATGATACCTGAGATATTGATTCGTGTCAGCTAGTAACGCCTATATAGATAATTACGAAACCATATGAGCAAAGTTCTCAGCTAAGAGAAGTTCGTGATTTATTGAATCGAAAGCCCTTATCATGTCCAGTAGGACTAAGGTTGTCCAGTCCACTGTCCCTTGACTCCCTTGTCATAAGTTTTAACAATAGTAATATTTTTTCGTTATGAACGAAATGAACAAGTGAAACTGAATTAACTGAATCTGAACAGGGAGCAATCACTTCAGTTTCACCTTAATTGTGTTCAGATGTTACAAAAGAAGATGAAGCACTTTCACTTTTGATAAACATAAATACAATCTCCCAAAGTTTATTTTCTACCCCATTGTACTACCTATTTAGAATAAAAAGATTCTTATTAAGTATTTTATTTATTTGAACAAAAATGAAAAGACAACTAATTTTGGTAAGTTCTACTTACTTCGTACCTCATTATCCTAAATACCTGTTTTTAGGAAACTCTAACTAATGCAACCTCAGTAGCAAACTCCCTTTTAAGCAGTTCCAGTAGTAGTTTTGACAATTCCCTGATATATATGAGAATGATTTTGAGGAACAAATAAAGGAGAAAAAGATAAAAGTTTGTAGTAAAGTCTGTTTTTTTTTTTAAAGATAATTCCCCAATTCAAAAATTTAGTAACTATGTTGGCAACACAAGCCTTTTCTACATAAAAAATTTGAAGACATTGACAATTTTACATTGTATTACCAACATAATGTCATTTTGACTTTTATCTTTAAAAAAAAAACAGATTTTATAACATACCCGGGTTCGTTCAGTAAAATTGAACGATGAGAATTTTTATTAAGGCCTGTTGTTTTTTAAAGATAAAAGTCAAAATGACATATTGTTGGCAATGCAATGTAAAATTGTCAATGCTTTCAATTTTTTTTATGTAGAAAAGGCTTGTCTTGCCAACATACAACATAGTTTCTAAATTTTTGACTTGGGGAATTATCTTTAAAAAGGAAACAGATTTCACCTTTAAACAACAAATCTTCGGAAAAACGAAATGAAAAACAAATAGGACCTACGTTGTGGAAACTTACTCAATTTTACTTAGTGGACATGCGCCCGAAATAGCAAATATTTGGGAAATTTAAGGGAAGTTGTGATATGTAAAAGAAACGAAAAATTTGTGAAACGTCTACTTTATTATTAAAGTAAATCGTAAGGTTCTCATCCTGGAACTAACGAGGGGAAAGAGCACGGCAGAGAAACCCTCGATCTACATTCCTCAATAATCGAAACATACTGTGTCATTTTAATAATACTTGATAATTCCATGGAAGTTGAAATTAGGTACCGCCCCTGTTCTTGTGCTAAAATTTTAATTACACACACTACATTCAATCAACACTACCTATATCCAATACTGAAGAATTTTTGTTAGTTTAGCGAAAGGTACTGAGGTCCCATATGGCATGCTACCTAGCTGTAGTTGTTTTTGAGCCAACATCTCTAGATTGATTATTTCAATTTGTTAGGATATTCTCTCGTCAGGGTAGGAAAATGTTAGTAAATTCAACAAGGCCCTAACACACGCTCTGAATACACAAAATCAAAATCTCAGCACAAAAAGACAGCTCATAATTTCTTAGGTTTTAATTTACTTTTTTATCGGTGTTGTTTGCAGCATGAAACGATTTTTGTTAAATACATACATGAACAATGCACATGTTATAAAAAATATTATAAACAAACAAAAAATACATAAAAATGAACAAAATAATAGGTACCTGCATAAATTGAACTCTCAAAAACAAAAAAAAACATTTAATTAACTAACCTGTGAACGCTCCTTACACACACACTAATAACAAATTGGATTGAACAATCAATTTTAATACAAAATAAAAATGAAAATTGAATAATGAATAATTACAGACACGCGTCTAAAGGACTAGCCCAGCTCATTCTCCAATCTCTCTAATGCCTAATCACCTCTTCTCTATCTCCCGTTCGGTTCGGTACCCCAGGGCTATCCCTGGGACTATGTAACGAATAGAGATATTTTCTCTATCTCTGTTGACGTCCCTTCTCTATTGATTTCGGAGAGAGAAAAAGAAAGCAAGTGCCATAGAGATAAAAAATATCCGTTACATATAGTCCCTGTCTGTCTTTTAAGTTTAAAGACTGCGAAGGTATACGACACAATTTCTTCTGGTTGCTATGTTCTGAGAGGCCTTTCAAAACGTTATCCATCACCTTCTGGAATGTAGCTGGAGCATTTTTTAGGCCAAACGGTATCCGGACATAGTCGTAATGGCCGATTTTGAAAGCAGTTTTGCACATATCTTCCTTAGTTATTTCGATTTGGTGGAAACCACTTGCTAGGTCCAAGGTCGTGAAGTACTGGTATCTAGCAACTTTATCCAAGATGACTGTTATGCTTGGAATTGGGTATTTATCGTCGATAGTTTCGCTAATAACCTTGTAGCGGGCAGTCGGTGGTTCAACCTCTATCTGCTTTGGATCGAGGGACTGTGTAATTTACTCCAGGAAGTTACACAATGCAAAGGTACAAACACTACACCGGAGGCCAAGTAAATGAATTTATTTGACTGGTACGAAAGCATAGAGGTGTACGAAAGTTTTAAATTCAACAAACGTCAAGTATTTGATTAACTGTTCATATGATAGTTAACAGCAGAGATGTTGACAGTAAAATAATAAAAACTACTAACAGGGTGGTCAGCTTGTTATGATACAATTTCTCCCCCTACTTTACGATACGTCATACGTCCCGTGAGTATGAGTAAAATTATTATTGGCAACGAGAGCATTTTGGTTTAACAACCACTCTTCTGGAATGAGCAAAGACTCTTGGTACTGCGGAGTTAGTAGGGTCACCACAGGGATCACCACCATCTTCTTCACACCTGCATTGCATTTGGACACAGCTCGTTGGGCTTCTTCTTCGTCCAACTCGGATACATACCTAAGCAGTACACCGTTATGCATGATGTTTGGTCCATTTTTTGCACTCAAGGTTATTTTTGTCCATATTTTCAAAAGTCTATATTATCTTGTTAATATCTGGGTCGTTAAGATGTTCATGGCGAATTTCAGCAACATTGTTTCTTGGCAAATCCACGGTTAGCAAGTTTGCTTTCATTTCTTGGTCTGGTGGTCGTGATAGGATCTGCAATAATTAGTTTGGCCTGGTGTATAGTTAATCTGTAGATCAAAGGATTGAAAAGCCAAATCCCATCATCTGGCTAAACGTTCTGTTAAGTGATTTATATGTCATCAGATCGCAATGGTTGATGATCACTTTTGACAACTGATACACATTTTAGGTAAACACGAAATTTATTGGTTAAGGCCCATACAACAGCTAAAGCCTCTCTTTCTGTGGTCGTATAGTTTTGTTCAGCAGGTGTAAGTCATGCGTAGTCAATGGGTCGCTCGTCTGTATCCTCCCCCTAAAGCAGACATGCTCTAAGAGCATAGGAAGAAGCGTTAGTCATCAGAATATAGAGCTGACATGGATCAGATTGGCGAAGGACTTTGACTTTTCAATTGCTTGATTTTAACTATGGCTCCAGGTCCAAATAGCTTTCTTCTTTGTTAGCATTGTTGGCGGTTTAGAGATAGTGACAAAATCTTCGATGAATCGTCTATACCATGAGCAGGTTTGTAAGAATAACAAAAGTTCCTCAACGTTTCCTGGCACTAGGATTTTCAAAATAGCAATAATAATCTTCTCAGGATTTGGTGCAATACCTTACATACCTAAATACTGTACTGAAAAACAAGAAACATATCTTGCGGTTTAGCGGCGAAGTTTAAATAATCCCAAGCGCTCAAACACTTTTAGATGATCACAATGGTATTCAAAGAAATCAGACAAGATTATTAAATCATCAAGATAAGCTAAAAGATTAATATTTTGAAGGCTTGAGCGAAATCTATCAATTAGCCTCTGGAAGGTAGATGGCGCATTACACAGTCCAAAAGTAAGGCCACTAAATCCGTCAGCAAGTCTTGCTTATTAGCTTATCCAAAACACATGACTTTGACAAGCAAACAAAGGGTTTGTGTGAATCAGAGATAAATGTAATCTTATGTCGATCACAGGGTCTAACTGACACCTGATGATTACTAGACTTAAGATCTAAGTAAAGTGTCTTTTTTTGCTGCATGAAAAATGTCGTCGATTCGCGGCAACGGTTACCTATCTGGCATCGTCTTGGCATTAAGCCGGCGGTAATCTGGTCCCGCCATCTTTTTTGGGAACCAAAACTACAGGAGCGGCGCATTTTTCAATTATCCCTTCCCTTCCGTAAGTAGGTTGTCAATTTCTTGCTTCAACTGCATCCTTTTAGTCTCAGACAGGCCATAAGGACGAACGGCAATTTGGACGTCATTTGTCAAGGTTTTAACATGTTCTGCAAAGGGAGTCGGTTCTACACTGATATTGAAAAGATCTTGGTTTGCCTCAAGCATTTCATTGTTGAATGTATGATTTTCGCTAGGCGAAAGATTTGAAACTTCATCTTCTCTTAACGATAAGTATTCCTTAAACTGACATTTCTCCATGTGAAAATGTCATTTTAGGGAATACTTATCGTTAAAAATGTTGGTGGAAACGGCCATTAATGTTTTAAGACTTTTGACAGTTCTTTCTATAAATGATCTGATAAATTCTTTTGTTTCAGTACGGCAACCATCCTCACAACAACCTACCAAGACCGAGCCTCTACCACAAATGTTCCAGAGGCTCGCACTCTTCCGACACTTCATCCGCCTACAGTGGCAGCGACACAATGGCTTCAACCCATTCAGAACTTGATGGTGATGAACCAGATTTATCTGGCCTGGTAGAGAGTATTGTAGATAGTGACGAAGAAGATGATTTAGCTGAGAGCATGGATGTAAGTACTTATTTACTTCAACAAAATTATTTTACCAATAATTATTATTTTAATAGAGTTTGACTGTAAGAGATAGAGTACGAGACTGTTTGGAAAAGGAACCGACTGAACGCACTGACGATGATATTGAAGCACTTTTAGAATTTACTCAACACTTGAAGGCTTTTACTAACATGACACTGGCAGTACGAAGAGCTTTATGTGCAGTAATGGTTTTTGCCGTAGTGGAAAAAGCTGGCACAATTGTAATGAACGACGGAGAAGAACTAGATTCGTGGTCTGTCTTAGTAAATGGCTGCGTAGAAGTTGTAATATCTGGCGAAGAAAATCAAACATTAACAATGGGAGATGCTTTTGGGATTCTACCAACTATGGACAAATTATATCATAAGGGAGTTATGATAACCAAATGCGACGATTGCCAGTTTGTTTGTATAACTCAGTCAGATTACTATAGAATACTTCATCAAGGGGAAGAAAATACTAGGAGGCATGAAGAAGATGGTAAATTAGTAATGGTGACTGAATTGCGAGGCTCAGCTGAGTCTGGTTTAAATCGTAGAGGACACGTGGTCATACGTGCCACGCCTCAAAGACTCATGCATCAATTAGTTGAAGAAAACTCCCTTACCGATCCAACTTATGTCGAAGACTTTTTGTTGACTCATAGAGTATTCACTCCAAGTCCCCTGTATATTGCAAATCAACTATTGGAGTGGTTTAAAGACCAAGAAGTCAGAGACAGAGTCACTAGAGTTGTACTACTTTGGGTCAACAATCATTTTACTGACTTTGAAACTGATCCTGATATGATTGAGTTTTTGGAAACTTTTGAGCAAGGTTTAGAGGATGAGCATATGGGAGGGCAATTGCGCTTGCTCAATATTGCTTGTGCTGCCAAAGCACGTATTAGAAATGTTGTGTTAGCCAGGCCCAATAGAGACGAGCCTTTAAGCTTTCAAATTTTAGGCGGATTTGAAAGGAATTTTGGTATTTTTATTAGTAAAGTTGACAAAAAGTCTAAAGCGGAAGAGGTTGGTTTGAAGAGAGGGGATCAAATATTGGAAGTCAATGGACAAAGTTTTGAGCATGTGTCGCATGCACGGGCTATGGAGATTTTACGCGGAACTACGCATTTGAGTATAACAATTAAATCGAATTTGTTGCACTTTAAGGAAATGTTGAATACTCCGGATAATTCGCCGAGGCCTAGGAGCAGGAAGGTTTCTGAAATTGGTAAGAATTACCTTAATATTGTTTACGCATTTTTGAAGTGAAACTTTTTAACATATGAGAAAAATATAAATCCCATTCTCGGCTCTTTTAGAAAAGTGAACTCTGATTTTTGATAATTTTAGAGTGAAAGTTGAGGTATAGGAGGCTCATTTTTGCTTTACACTGACAAAAACAGAGTAATCTTTCTCATGAGAACGCTGTTCCTCGGTTTCGAGAGTAGTAAGCTACTGTCCGTTACTCTTTGGAATGTTACGGGTGCGTTCTTTAGTCCAAACGGCATTCTGTTAAATTCATAATGTCCATTCTCAACATCAAATGCTGTTTTTCTTTAATTCTTTGGTAATCTAGGACCATTCTTTATGAGTCGTCTTCTGTTTTAAGTACTATCTATACAGGAAACGACCAGGGACTACAGGATGATGGGATGAAAGATATACCTATTGATTATTACAAAATTACTTTTCAAGGTCTTGAGATATCTAAAAGATAATTTATAATGGAGTACTGCTCCTCTGTGAGGAGTATTCTTCAAAATGGCGGCCCATTTTTTTTACATTTTTGTATACAGGGTGCGCAGCTAAGAGCGCGTCGGCTTCTCATGAGCGTAAACTTGACATAACTGGCGCAAATGCTGAATACGTGAATTTTGGCGCAATATTTACATGTCAAAATTATAATCTTTTTCTAAATTTTGCTGCGGCAGAGTGTCATCGTATCCAATATGGCGGGATTTTGGCCAATCAGAATTCTGCATTCAGGTACGCTTTCACGCCATAAATGTTAAATTACGCTCATGAGAAGCCGCTTTAAGTCCTGAACTAATAAAAGTAAGGAATTTCGTTCATGTATCTAATGTCAACTTATTCTGGTCGTGAGACTCTTTTTTAGGAAAATATTTTTGAGTATACAGGGTACATGGATTTTCCTCTAAGATTGACCATTTAGGTTTTACCTCGGGTATTACAGCCTGTCAAAATTGCAAAAGAGTCAATTTTCAACTGTCAATATTTCCAAAACAGTTGAACTTAGATATAGGGTATATCGTATATCATATGAAATCTGCTCAGAATTTCACGTAGAATCTCAATATGTAATCACATACAAGAAAATCAAATTGTTCCACCCTGTATACTTAAAGATATTTTCCAAAAATAGCGTCTCACTACCAGTATAGGTGTGGGACAAAATTTCTAACCTTATTAGTTTCAGACTTATAGACCGATGCGCACTTAGCTGAAGAAATTGATTTATATATAGGGTGATTCCAAAAAGGCCTATAAGCTCTCCACTATGTTGTAAGGGGCCCTTCAGGTAACCCCAGAAAAATAGTGAAAAAAAAACTCGTCGACAAATCTTGGTGACACAAGAGAATTAACGCTAATTAAAATTTCTATAAACCTATTAATTAAGATTTTAATTTCACCTCCTAATAGGATTCACATAGTGCACACATGTCTTTTTTATTTTAGTCAAAATTCAGCATGATCCAAGAGCCAGGCTGTCCAGTATCGAAGGCAATATCATCCTAGGACATGACACACCGTGCTCTCAGCCAATAACCATCAACAGTCCGCAAAAAGAGGCCAAAAAACCAATATTTTCGACTATGGGCCCTAAAAGACGATTGCAAAAGGCCCTTATGAAAATGAACATTTTACCTAAGAATATTATCAAGTAAGTTTCACATATATGAAAAAATATCCTTGATGTAAAATTGAATTTTTTTAGTATGGGTATGGGTACAGACCAAGTGGACAGCTTTATTCCACCTTCAAACCTTACAAACAACATTTACCAATCTCAAAGTAATCCAGACCTAATGTCAATTTGTTATGATGATTTACGTTTAACTGACTATCCTGAGCACGTATTAAAAGTCTACAAACCGGATCAGAGTTACAAATATTTGCTCATTCATAAGGAAACCACAGCTCATGAAGTTGTAATGTTAGCTCTGCAAGAATTTGGCATTACTGATCCTAGTTCCAACTATAGCTTGTGTGAAGTGTCAGTGACTGATACACAAACAATTAAGCAACGTAGATTGCCTGATCAGTTGCAGAATTTAGCTGAAAGAATCGGCCTTAGTAGCCGATATTATTTGAAAACAAATGGCATAACTGAGACTTTGGTACCAGATGAATTGGCTCCTGAATTAGTGCGAGAGAGTGCGGTGCACTTTTTACAACTCAATGCTGTTGAAATTGCCATTCAACTAACGTTGCAAGATTTTAGTATATTCAGGCAAATTGAGCCTACTGAGTATATTGATGATTTGTTCAGGCTGAAATCTAGATATGGTACGCCAATGCTGGAACAGTTTGAGGCCCTTGTTAATAAGGAAATGTTTTGGGTAGTCAGTGAAGTTTGTGCCGAACAAAATCCTGTAAGACGAATGAAGATTATTAAGCAGTTTATTAAAGTAGCAAGTAAGTGTTTAGTGAATGTTGAGGGGTGAACCACCTTGAAAAATTTTGTACATTAGAATCTAACTGGAATTCCACTGAAAATGAATAAAATTTTGGACTTTTTGAACCTGAAATCCTACATGCTTGAAGACTATAATTATAAGGTGGTTCACCCAATAACATCTTAGTTTACCCTTCAATAAATGCTATAAATTGAATTGTTTTTCAAGGACAATGCAAAGAATGTAAAAACTTCAACTCGATGTTTGCAATAATCAGCGGTTTGGGACACGGTGCAGTGGGCAGATTAAGACAAACGTGGGACAAATTGCCAGGAAAATATCAAAGGATTTTCAACGATTTGCAACAGTTAATGGATCCTTCTAGGAATATGAGCAAGTATCGGCAACTGGTCAGTGCTGAACAAACTCAACCGCCAATTGTAAGTTAGTTTATTAAATAATGTTCACTGTAGTTTTACCAAGTTTTTGTTTTAGATTCCATTTTACCCTGTGGTTAAAAAAGATCTGACTTTTATACACGAAGGCAACAGTTCACATGTCGAAAGCCTAGTAAACTTTGAAAAGTTGCGCATGATTGCCAAAGAAGTGCGATCACTCAGCAACATGTGTAGCAGCCCTTACGATTTACTTACAATGCTGGAACTTGGAGGACAGCCTGCTAGCAATGCCATGGTCGCTCTGAATCAAATGACAACATCTTCGTCAAAGTACCATACGCATGGTAATGGTAATTTCTTGTTTGATTTTAAAAACTGTCAAAACTATATTTTATTTTGTAGGTCAAGCTACAGTAAAACGTCGTAAAAAATCAACAGCAGCTCCAAACCCCAAAAAAATGTTCGAAGAATCTCAAATGGTGCGCAGAGTGAAAGCCTACCTGAACAATTTGCACGTGGAAACCGACGAGAAAAAACTACACGAAATGTCAGCAGAATGCGAAGGCAACGCCAACGCCGGCAGCGGATTTTCAGGCCCCGGTAGCCAACGAGCCAAACGACACGCCTCACCAGCCCCCTCTACCACTAGCAGCACAAGCAGCGCCAGCGACGAACGAAAACCCACCGCTAAATTTGGTAATAACAACTATAACCAACAATGTAGTTTCGCAACCAATAATCAAATTAACCATAAAGGTTCCGCGTCACCTCAGGCGGTCAGAAAGCTGCTGGCGTTGTCGGAACCTGCCAAAGCGCGGCCGCATCAGCCTAGGCAAACTCCCACGCATGCCGTGCCCATTAACCAACCCAGTCCTGCTGTACGGAGAGCTCCTAGCGCTACAGGTAACTAACCACAGCTTCGTTTTTTTTGCTATTCAAACTTACACAATAATTAGTTTCTAATAGATAATTTACTTGAATTTTATGGAATCTTTGAAGTACCAAATATAACTTTGTGAATGAGAAAAACCTTCTTCTTAACTTGATTGGATTGGTTGTCTTCGAATATAACAAAACTAGTTTTTGACAACCAAATGCCAGCCTCTGCAAGAGAGACATATTCTGCCTCTATGGATGAAGAGGTCGCAACCGTAGTTTGTTTTTGAGTTGACCAACTGTGCAACCGAACATCTTAAATAAGTACCCAGTTGTTGATTTTCAGTCTGTCTCATCTCCAGCAAAATCTGCGTCCGCATATTCGACAAACAAGTGTTCAAGAGAACATAATTTTGTATTGATGGTTCTCTTAAGATTCATTCGAGGTTTTTCTATAACTCTTCATTTGGTTTACATTGACACCTACTGCACAAATTTACTGAAATGTTTAAATCCGGCCGTAGCATTAGGTACATCAGGCATTCCACGAGCTCCCTAATAGGTTTGTTTTTAAATTCCTCAGTTTAAGATATAGTATATATTGTGTATCTATATATTGTGTATTAAGGCATATTAAGTGACTTTTTGACCATTCAGTACATTTGCCTCCTACCTTGATTTGAACTTACTGACTGACTTCTCTTCTTGGCTTAATATTTGACACCTGTCTATTGCTTATTTTTGATTGACTCTCACAAATTGACTGTACTCCATAAGCAGGATCTCTATGAGCAGGACTTATAGACTTGAGCTAAAAAACTTACAATTATTATTTTCTTTTGCATTACACACTAAGCTAATATTTTGGACATTTTGACTAGAATTTATCATGTTTATGCTTCCTGTTGAACCGTTTCAAGAGGAAACGTTTTAGTGTAAAACGCTTGTATAAACGCCTCATAAACCGGCATGACTATTTTAGGGAAAGCCTCATGGAAGTATAAATACAGGATAAAACGTTCTAAGTTCGAAAACGTTTGAGCGGTTAAAACCGTTTAACGGAAACATAAATTTGGTAATTGAACATTGACCTCGTGTCTAACCAGGACGTAGCATATTCATGAACCTCTTTCCAAGATTCCTCCTTAAGCTGTCAATTTGTTGTCAGCAAAAGACCTAAATAATATGTGCCTTTTGCCCTTAATTACTTGTAGCAAGGTGAAGTGTATACAGCGATACACGCAGAGGCGCAGCCAGGGGAGGAGCCCGACATTTTTTATCTACCTTTATATTCTTAGTAGATACCGGTAAACAGCTATTTGCTTAATAGATATACATTCTCAAATTTCTATTCAAAGTAGCTAAAGGATCACGTCTATTCTAAGCAATTTTATTTTTTTTCCATTTTGGGTACTGCTGTGATTATTCATAAATATTTAGTTAGGACCCCCTCTGAACAAAATGTCTGGCTGCGCCACTGGATACACAGCACACTCCTTTTCACCCGACCTAAAGTCTACATTCATTTGGTACCGAATTGCGCACTTTGTCTTCTGGAAGTGGTGGCGGTTAAACCACATACGGTTTTGCATCAAATCTTTTACAAGTTGAGCATTTATTCACTACACATGTGATAGCTTAGTTAGCAGTAGTTTTCTCTTACCATTGCAAGTAATCCTTTGTAGCACTATTTTACGTCTCCCTGTATATCGTGATGTTTTAGGGATTTTTCGACTTTACAGTCCAACGGTTATTTCGGGCGCCATCCTTAGGATTATAGTGGTTAAGGGCCCACGTGCACTAGGTAGCCTTTATACAGTGGAGAAACGGTATGCCAGGGGTCATAGATACGATATGGGTAGAAATAAAACCAACAATTAAGAAAAATAAAGCATCGTTCGTGTTTGCCAAAATATACTTCTAATAAGCTTAATCAGTTCTTATCAAATCTTGTATATTAAAAATCTTAGAACCTACTTCAGAGAGAAAAGAGAACCTGGGAAAGTATGCGTGCTTTCGGTCACGGTAAATTGAGATCGAACAATACGGTATAATATTTAGTGTACGGACGGTTTAGTGACGTCAGACGGTAAAAGACTCTCGACCGCAAACGGATAAAATGACACAAACATGAAACAGAAAACAGGCATCGAACCACCGTCGCTTTCACCTGGTATACATAATTCGCAAATATAAAATACGCACGCGCGTCTGACATTGTTGAACAGTAGGTTGCTTGCAAGTAAAAAAACAGAATAAAATGGAGAGAGAGAGAGAAAGTATCGCCATCCTCCCCATACGAACTGTAATACGGGTTCCTGTTGGCATGGCGAGATGGCGTAGCTGTACTCCCGATGTAGCACGGGTCCACACCGACGCAAGGAGGAGAGCCTATTTTAACATGGAAAACAGAGAAGTGTCTAATAAGCCTAATCTACGCGGTCATACTATTTGTAATACAGAGTCCTTATGATAAGACGTCACAGACTTCGGCCGCACTAATCTCCTCGCCCCGGACGTAGTACGGGTCCGTACCGAACCAAGAGGCAGAGAGATAGACAAATCTCCGTAAAATATAGAATGCTGAATATTCTCTGCATTCCATCGAGCGTAATACGGGTCCAAACGATGAAATGCAGGCAATCTACCATCGGCTCCATACCATGTCACCATGGTACGAAGAGAGACGGCAATATCAGATATACCCTTAAAGCAACCACTAACCTATACATTTGAATCCGGCGTGATGACGTGGAAGCGGCGTCGGCGTCGGCATCGGCAGAAACGGTACCTGGTGATGGTCACTCTGCTGCTGCTGCACCTGAAACAGTGAGACGGCGGTGTCCGTCTACCTGCTGAAGCCTGGGTACTGCGGTTTTATTGTCACGACTGGTTTTCCCCACTCTGACGCGAGGGCTTGTGGTTGATTACAGCGCGCGGCGATTCCGCGTATCGAAATATATTCAAGCGGGGAAATAATTAATATCAAATTATACCGTAAGCACACATTCAACCCCAGGAAAATTAGGTAACATCGTTACACCTTGAACTCCTACATTCCTGGAATATGTTGCCTCAGAAATTGGGATGTCCATTTTTTTTATTTCAGGCACTCGATTATACACAAACGTTCCCCAATCGTCGTTATGATGTATCCATGATATCACTGTTGACGAATCGCTCCAAAAGTTACTTTCACCAGTTTCCAATTCTGTGTCTAACAAACTATCGATTACTTGTGTATTGTCTATCATTTTTAATCTGACACTTTCCGTATGAGAAGCGAGGGGGTGAAGCATATGGCATGATGTCAGGTGACCGTTGGCGTTCTCATCAACTCACATTCTTTTGGAGTATCAGATTAAAATCGACGGACTGTATATAACCTTGCTCCAATTGTCGCGGCCAACAACTTCAATCGTGGTATAGATGGGTATAGTGTACCCTTTACTGTTTTTCTCTATAGGAGCTACTCTGGATTAGGTTGCCGTTGCCAACAAAGACACCCATACCTTTCAATTTTTGACAACTCTAGCATAGGTATACTTTCAAGCTCATTTCACTGTCCTTTGAATTCTCAAATTTCATCCAGTGAGGAATTTCGATTTTTGTAAAATTTTTCAGATCTTTAACCCAGGTTTTAAATTGCTCAGAAAGCTCATTATCTACTTTGGTATCCCAACTTATACATTCCTAACCCACTGTCAAAGTTACAAAAAAAACAATTTTCAACTGTCAATATTTCCGAAACAGTTGAAGATAGATATAGGAAATGATACCTACATGAAATAGGTTCAGAATTTAACGTAGAACTTGAAAATGAAATAAAAAATGTGTGCTTCTGTTTAAAAAAATTAGGTTAGCTGTCATAACTTATTTTTGAGTCACCCTGTATACATGGTATTATCATCAAAAAAACGGCCACTAAGGGCGAGTTCTCATGAGCGTAAGTTGACATTTCTGGCGTAATCACGCGATAATATGGTGTAATTTGATTGGTAGAATATCTAGCATGGCGAATATTTTACCAATAAAACCCGACCAATTTATCACGTGATTACGCCAGAAATGTCAACTTACGCTCATGAGAACTCGCCCTAAAATCAAAAAATTGACGTGTCCGAGGTTTTTTTGAAAAATATCCACCCTGTATATTTTATAGATTTTATTCCAACCTTTACGTGCTCACTGTATAATAAAATAAATATACTATTGGAGCAATACTCACTCCCGTTATCACATGAAACACTTTCTCAAGTGCCAGCCACATATCACGAGATGTTGGTTTATCTTTAATGTAGTCCAAGTGCGAGTTAGCAACGCACTGTACAATAATGTTTTTACATTTTTTGTCTAACTTTACTTTGTCTTGTGAATTTTGACGTTTGGCCCCTTCCACACAAGTTTCAACTCCATTGTGATCAAGCCGAGTTTCAATTCGAAATTTCCAATGAGCATATTCCTCTCCATCAAACTTTTCCATGGCGAAATTACTCCTAGTTCGAGGTTATCTTCCACAAATACGCAAACTTATCACAATTTGGTTTCTGGGCCCATAACCTGATAGAATTTTTGAAACACCAAATATAAGTTTGTGAATGTAATAGAAAAACACCATTACACTTAATTATAATTGAATATCGTTTTAATTCATGTTGTGAAACTTACAAAACTTGACATTACACATTGACATATTGTCACACTTTATCAATTAACTACCTGATTGTAAATCTAACAGAATTCATTCAAATATAGGAAGTTACTCGAGTTACGGTTCGCACAGCTCAAGCAGTTCAGGAGCAGGAGGCAGAGCCATGCACGAACGTTCCCACTCCGACACGCCCACTCCTCTGCCTTCAGTCGCTCTATCAGCAGAAAGCAGTAGCGTCACGTCTCTGAGCAACTTGCCTTTGCGCAAGACTCTCACTTCCGGTAAGTAAAAAACTGTCTAGTAGTTCTCTTTTTGTCTCCTATTCTCTTTGCACTCTCTCTATGGTGGCATGTTTGTTCCAAAGCAGGTTCGGTCACGTCTTCCGATTCGGGGCACAGCACCATTAGTCAAGTGACCACTGGTTCGGCCAACGATTGTCACCAGTATCAGGCGCGGTGTCCGAGTCCGTCGAGACATTCCACAATTTTACCCACAGGTAATTTTACATATTTTGTAAAGCATGAGTGTTGAGTGTGTTCAGTATGTTATGAAATCTTTATCATCAAACGTCTGTAAATAGGCCTTAAACCATTAATATTAGTGTAAATAGTACCTAATTCATTGGTGCATGTAGACTACTAAAACAAGCACCCAAAAAATCGAAAAAAAAAAGTTACAAAATTTGGTGTTAGGCTGGTGTCCAGTGCGGTCCGGTGCTATTCCACCTTGTCCCCAAGCTGTGGCGGTGCTGCCCCCTTTACCCCAAGCTTTGCGCAATGGTAAGTCTATCTGTTAGATTGGTAGTTGTTTGCTTCGTAGCACCTTTTTGTGGTTTTGTAAAATACAATATTATGTGTCAGAAGCTATTGACAGCTTGAGCCCTAGAGTGGTGGCTCCATTTTCCCACATTATAGAGCGATATTACAAATACTATACCGTTATCAAATGTTACTTTCAGGTGCAAATAGACGACAACCCCCCTCTTACAGTGTTGCCGCCCACATGGCTCGGTTACACAGATTGGGTAGGGCTCATTCCCACGAAGGTGTGACTCAAGGCTACCATTATCACACTGATCCTGATACGGATCAAGGTAAGTAGTGACAATTTTGATTGACTTTTTTTTCTGACAGTTACTTTTGACTTAATACAGGTGACGCTGACAACGAACTGACGGACATGTTACTTGAATCTGAGACTGTTATTATTATGGTATGACTTTATTGACAAATTTTTCAGATGACGAAGAAACGCAAGTTTCGGCAGTTTAGAGTGGGCGACCCTTCCCCCCACCAGGGAAATTGTTAGTTTTATGACATATGTGCACTTTTTGTGTATTTTATATGGGGTACCGGGATTAACGTCAAATTTTTGAGATTTGACGTTTGTCCCTGTGTCAAGTACCTGATGATTATTAGATGCGCATTTACTATTATTTTTGCATTATTATATCTATAGGAGAAGTTTTATTGTTATATTTGTATATATAGGTTTTTTTAAGATATATTTTGCCCTTGAATCAGTATTTTTTTCCTTTTCTATTTTTGGTTCGCATGTATGTAAGTTGCACCACTGCTGGTTAAAATTATCGACCCTTGAATATTTGTTTTGTGTACAGGGTTGCCAAATGTATTTTTTAATCCTTAATTCATTTATCGGACCTGTGTGAATTCTGACTAATTTCACTGTCAAAATTGTTGTGATCTTCCTTCAATTGCTGCTGAGTAAGAGAGAAAGAAAATTTAGATCAGCACCTAGCATTTGTCCATTTAATAAATTCGTCCAGGTAGGCCAAAGAATAGAATTCTATTTTTAGAAAGTCACATTAGAGATAAAACCAACTGAGAAGAGGCCACCGCGTGATCTTCTATCTCACTTCAATGGGAGGGCCCTAGAGAAAAGGGAATTTGCCTTCTTCGTCAGTGATGACGTCAGGGGTTCTTCTCAGTTGATTCTTACTCTACCTGTTTATTATTGACAAAATTTTCCATTGAGCATTTTAATAACCATCTGTCATGTAAACTAGACTTCTGATATCAACTGTATAGAATGTCACATTTTTCAATCAAAGTATTCAATCCTATTGAGTAAAATTCCTTCAGTATTGACAGTACATATCAAAATTCAATACTTAACCTTGACTTTTGACATATAAAGCTTCTTATAAACGTCAAATGTCAAGTTAAACCTAAAGCTCGATATTATCAATAGGTCTGTTTGTCTGACTGGTTTGTGGTTGCTGTGCAAACAGTCCTAATATTTGAAGGAAATTCCCAAGATTCCTAAAGTTAATGGGTTGCCTCGTAATGGTAAACAGATGACGTCATCAGGAGGACCTAATGGAGATTTACATTATGTTTAGCTAGGCACCACAGATGACGTCATGAAATGCAGGCAACCTACCTCTTTCAAATAGTCTTGGGAAATTCCAAATAAATTTTTATGAAATATTATGTGTTATCATCTGTCATCGATATCATGAATTTGTTAATCGATTTCTATCTGGGTGACATCAGAATTATTTTGAATAAAAGATGGTTTCCTGGAAATCCTTAACGTTTTAAAAAATCTTTATTTTTCTCAAAATCTTACAACCTTGTGATAAACAATACAAATTTTATACTAATGTCGCCCCATTACAACGTTGCCAGAAAAAAAGTAAAATAACGATATTTCAGATTCACTACTACGAACCGTTGAAATCAAGAGCCGGGAATAATAAAAATTTGGAAAAATAGCAACAAATTAAGAAACCTGGCAACACTGCCCTGATAAAAAAAAAAAGAACTACATCTGAATGACGTCATTTTAACATCAGAATTAGTTGATTTTGGAGATGAAGTTCCTAAAATAAAATTCTATTCAATGTGATCTGGTCCAGCGATGTCTTTATTTTTCTTAAAATCTGACAACGTCTGATTAATAATTAAATTTTCACATCTGTTGACTCGTTGCAATGTTGCCAAAGAATCAAATCGAGAGCCGGGAATAATGAAAATTTAAAGTGTTTAATGGAAATACATACATGATAAACTTCAACTTAGAAAAACCTGGCAACAACACTCTGATTACAAAAATTATTCGATTCTATTTAAGTGACGTCATTTTGACATTAGAATTATATTTTAAATGACACATGGTTCTAGAGGTAAAGAATTATATTCATTGAATGTGATCTGATCTACAATGTCTTTATTTTTCTCAAAATCTGGCAACGTCTGATTAGCAATAAATTTTTCACATTTGTCGATTCATTGCAATGTTGCCAAAACATCGAATTGAAATCAAATTGAGAGCCGGGAATAATGAAAATTTGAACTGTTAAATAAAACAATCTGCATATTAAGAAACCTGGCAACATCGCCCTGATTATTATTTTTTTTATCTAAATGACATCATTTTGAACTCACAACTCTGTTTGAAATGACTGATGGTTTTGAGGGTAAAGCAAGGTTCCTAAAGTAAATAGGTTGGGTTGGTAATAGGTAACTTGATGACGTCATCTGGTGTGCCTTATGGAGATTTGCATTATGGTTGAAACAACCTTGGGGGTGATTTTCTCAAAATCTGGCAACATCTTATTAGCAAAAACTTTGTTTACATTTGCCAGGTCATTGCAACGTTGCCAAAAAATCGAATCCGAGAGCCGGGAATAATGAAAATTTGAACTGTTTAATGAAAATATATACCTACATGATAACAAACTTCAAATTAGAAAACCTGGCAACAACGTCCTGATCACAAAAATTATTGGATTTTAGGTGACGTCATATTAACATATCAAAATTCTATTATAATTTAATTGACAGATAGTTTTGGGGGTGAGGTTCCTAAAATAGAATTCTCTTCAATGTGATCTGGTCCAGTGATGCCTTTATTTTTCTCAAAATCTGGCAACGTCTGATTAGTAATAAAATTTTCACATCTGTCGGCTCATTGCAATGTTGCCAAATAATCAAATTGAATTGAGAGCCGGGAATAATGAAAATTTGAACTGTTTAATAAACCAATTAAGAAACCTGACACCGCCTGACACCGCCCGACACATGGTTCTAGGGGTAAAGAGTTATATTCATTGAATGTCATCTGGTCCACGATGTCTCTATTTTTCTCAAAATCTGGCAGCGTCTGATTAGCAATAATTTTTTTATATTTATCGGCTCATTGCAACGTTGCCAAAAAATCGAGTGCCGAGAATAATAAAAATTTGAACGGTTTAAAGAAAATAGTAACAAACCAAGGTTGGTAACAAACTACAAATTAGGAAACTAGGCAACACTGCTCAGGAGGTTGTCGAGGTTGATTTTCGAAACAAGGAAGGGGCGCTCTCATGAGAACAAATTTTCTATACTTATTACTCATATCGGATTTTGCATGGAACTGAGAAGGACAGGACACTTGTTCTCATAGAAATCTGGTTCTTTTGTTTCGAGAATCAGTGAAGTGACGTCATTTTGACATCAGAATTCTATTTTGATTGAAAAATTGTTTTGGGAGTGAAGTTCCTAAAATAGAATTCTATTCAATGTAATCTGGTTCAGCGGATACCTTTATTTTTCTCACAACCTGGCAACACCGCCCTGATCACAAAAAAATTAGTTTCATCTAGGTGACGTCATTTTCACCTCACAATTCTATTTGAAATGACAGATGGTTTTGGGGGTGAAGCAAGGTTCTTGAAATTAATAAATTGTTCGATAATAGGTAACTTGATGACGTCATCTAGGGGTGCCTAATAGAGATTTGTATTATGGTGGAGTCCCCAGATGATGTCACAAAATTTATTAGGCAACCTACCTCTCTCAAACAATTTTGGGGGTGAAGTTCCTAAAATAGAATTCTATTCAATGTGATCTGGTTGAGCGATGCGTTTATTTTCCTCAAAATCTGGCAACGTCTTATCAGCAAAAACTTTGTTTACATTCGTCAGCTCATTGCAACGTTGCCAAAAAAATCCTAGTTGAGATCAAATCGAGAGCCGGGAATAAGAAAAATTTGAACTGTTTAATAAAAATCCATAGTAAGAAACTACAAGTTGAGAAACTAGGCAACACCGCCCAGGAGGTTGATTTTCAAAACAATAAGGGAGGTACGTTCTCATAGGAACAAATTTTTTGTCCTTGTCACTCAATATCAGATTTTGCATAAAACCTGAAAAGGACAGGGTACTATTGTTCTCATAGGAATCTGCCTCCCTTATTTCGAGAATCAGACGCCTGATCACGAAAAAAAAAATTCTATCCGAGTGACGTCATTTTGACATTAAAATTCTATTTAAAATGACAAGTGAAGTTCCTAAAATAGAATTATATTCAATGTGATCTGGTCCAGCAATGTTTGTATTTTTTTCTTAAAATCTGGCAACGTCTGATTAGCAATAGAAAATTTTACATTTTGTCGGCTCAGTGCAACGTTGCCAAAAAATTTGAGTAGAAATCAAATCAAGGGCCGGGAATAATAAAAATTTGAACTGTGAACAGTAACAAACACTTTACAAATTAAGAAACCTGGCAACATTGCCCTGAACCTAAAATAGAATTCTATCTGAGTGATGTTATTTTGAATGACAGATGGTTTTGGGGCAAGGTTCCTAAAGTTAATAGGTTGTTTGGTAACTTGATGACGCATCTGGGGTGCCTTATGAAGATTTGCATTATGTTGAAGCAATTCGGATGACGTCATAAAGTTTTCAAGTAACCTATCTTTCTCAAACAACCTTGGTTTTGGGGGTGAGTTTCCTAAAATAGAATTTCATTCAATGTGATCTTATTTTTCTCAAAATCTGGCAACATCTAATTAGCAATAAAAATTTTCACATTTGTCGGCTCATTACAACGTTGCCAAAAAATCGAGTTGCAAATCAAATCAAGAGCCGGGAATAATGAAAATTTGAACTGTTCAATATAAATACTAACAAACAATTTATAAATTAAGAAACATGGCAACACCGCTATGATCACAAAAAAAAATAGACTTCTATCTGAGTGACGTCATTTCGACATCAGAATTCTATTTCAAATGACAGATCTGGTCCAGCGATGGTTTTATTTTTCTCAAAAATCTGGCAACCTGGGATTAGCAATAACATTTCACATTTGCACAGCCTGAATTGCAATAAGCATTCCATCGAGGCCTGCGGATGACGTCTTCACTATAAGCTGCTTTGTGGTGACGTCATTCGCAGACCTTGCCGACTCGAGAATTGACGCCTTATGAGGATGAGCAATCCTGTTAGTATACGATTTTTGACGTTTGCCGCTTCATTGCAACGTTGTCAAAAAAAAAAATAGGGATTTTTGAGATTCACTATGAATGAATTTAGAGTCGGGCATAATGAAAATCTGAATGAAACAGTAACAAACAACCTACAATTTTAGAAACCTGGCAATACCGCCCTATAAGTACCTAGTACCTTAAATAGAATTCTATTAAATGAGTGTCTAGAGGCTTTTTACTGACCAATTCACAACTTTTTACTGTCCGACTTTTTAGAGAAAACTTTCCTGACTGGTGTGATAATTTTAATCAGCAGAAATGATTTGACAACAATGTAAAATTGATTTATCTCAGGATGTTTTTCTTTCTTTTTAGGACCGGTTTATTCACCTTCTGATAAACTGTCAGATATGTAATCAAATCTGTTATCCCATTGGTCGGCCAGGTATCCGCCAACCAATAAAATCAAAGAATGGTAAATTTATCTTGCAAATAGTTACCAGCAAGTTTATTTAAAGATGAATAAACCGGGCCTTAGTAGTGCTTGGCTAAATTTTTGTTAAATCCATTCCATTGTAAATATTTACTTATAAAAAAATGCGTGTTACTTTCTACATATCCACTTGTTGTTTAATGTAATTCTTCCAGTTGTTGACCTGTTGACGATAATTAATTACCTACTCACTCAGGGCTGGTTTATTAACCTTCTGATAAATTGACTGAAACAGATATAAACGTAATCCTATTGGTCGGCCAGTTATCCGCCTGGCAGTTTATCTGAAGTTGAATAAGCCAGGCCTCAATAAAATAATACTTGTAACAATTTCGATTTGATTGGTCCAATTAAATTTTGACACTTGAACACTTTGACTAAAAGATTTGATATCAAAACTGTCAATAATTGACAAAAATCTATATTTACTTCTGACTGATGAATATATTTTTTTCTTTTTTTAATTTTTCTTTTTTTGAATAATATTTAAGTTGCAATCTTATAGGTTTAATGTGATTGAACTAGTCTTGCTTTTGATTATTACTACATATTGTCTATTTACAGTCTGTCCAAAGGTGCAGGTAAAATGTATCACCTTTCAATGCTATTTGATAGGGAAAGGGTGATAAATTTACCTGCACCTTTGGATTACAGATTATGAATAGGATATAGAAGCTCTGTTCCAACTGACATCAGAACTGTTCCAAAAGACATCAGAACCGTTCCAAAACCAGTAATTTCCACTTGCCCACCTATTTGACAAATTAATTGATCAACTGGAAATTACCCAGTTCTAGAACGGTTCTCATGTCAGTTGGAACAGAGCTATTGTATAAGAATTGTTTCTTCAAATAATGAAACTTTATATTTTCTCGATATTTTTTTTTATGTATATTTTGTACAAACCTATCTTTCAACTGCAAAAATAAATTATTATAATAATAAGTATAGTTTATTTGTGTTTTATTTACTACATTACGTAACGACATTCAGATATTTTGATGCAAGGCCCGTTGAGTTTGCTCCTGATGTAGCCGTCTTTGCAAAAGCAGCCGGGGTTGCATTGGGTGGCGCAGTTTGCAAACTGGCGGTTGTTGCACGTTGAAATACATAAGGAGCCGCAAGGGTTGTATTTTTCGTTTTTACCACATTTTTCTAAAACAACATTTAAATTAATTTGTGTTTTATTTAGGGCCAAATTATGAACTGACTGTACCTTCTAGGTAACAACCAGACACTTATCAGTTGATCCATAATTTGACCCTTACTAACTAGCTTACCTTCATGGTCGGCTGTAACTGCTGAAACAACTAGAATCATCACAAATATCAACTTCATGTTGTCTTTTTTTTGTTTGTGTTGGGTTTTAGCAGGAAATTTGTTTTTTTATAGGCACTATTTATGGTAATGTCTGCGTTAATTTTACATAATATTTTGTTTTGATAACGGAATTTGTTTTAAAAAGTACAATTTTTAAGATAGTTATGGGTAAACAGTTCAATGTAGGTTAATTTCTAGTCATAATTTTTGATAACGAGGCACACATGTAAATAAATAATGTTTCAGTATGTAAATTTTTAAATTGTTACAGATGCGGTGATCTACAATATTAAGCGAATTCATGGCAATACTATTTTGAAATCAAATTTTCAGTAATTTTAGCTCTCGAGTTGCTGGGTAACTACTCTAGATTAGTCTAGACCAACAAGAACCAGTAATAATTCAAATTTTTATGATACTTGAGAGTTCCAAAATTCAATTCAAAATACCAGTTTTGATTTTTATCAGCTGTTGAGTTGCTGGATGTGGTATGTTATATGAGGTAGTCAAGAGCCGACGTTATAGTTCAAATTTTGAGATAATCAGCTTTTGAATTGCTGTAAATATTTTCAAGGGCTGCTGGGTAATAAGACTATCAAGAGTAGTTAATATTTAAAAAAAAAGCGAATCTTCATGTATTCTGGTTACGAAGCCAACAAAAATGACCAGACCCATTATGATGAAATTAACAAGAAGTACATAACTGAACAGTTAGAAGTCTGCACAATGTGCAAAACTTTGGGATAAGTACAGTCAGAGCAAATTTCATTGGTTGAAAACATAGTCATAAAACTAGTTCAAACCAATGGAATTAACTCTGACTGGTTTGTGATTTCTGTGCAGACAGGGGCGTCGTGTCGGGGGAGGGGGGTAATTGGGGTAATTACCCCCTCCCCCCTAGGATCGAATTATCAAGAGAAAAATCAGGATGCCCAACAGAAAATACATTTTTGTTTTGTTTTATTTCTCTCACAAAGGAAATAATTGTTCTGGAAAAGTGAATCACCTCCCCCTCAACCTCCGTACCATTTACCCCCCCCCCCCCAGACTGTTGGACGCGCCTTGCACTGTGTGAAGACCTATTAATACTAACATAATACAGGGTGCCTCAGCCGAGAATGGCCCATTACAAATGCTTAGTTATAAGGTGTGCTAGCTACCTGCGAGCAAAGAATCGTTTTAAACAATGAAGAAAGCTATCTGTCGATAAATCGCGAGCCAACTCGATATGAATAGCTCGAGTTGCAAAACATACAAATACGCATACATATACCTGCGGTTTGCGCCAGTCGATTTCTCTTACCGTATAGTTATTTTTGTATCTAGTGCGCGAAATGCTACTTTGGTGATCGAGATCTGATTTTTTTAACTCGGCTGCGCCTCGTTAAAAAAATCAGATCTCGATCAAAGTATTTCGCGCCCGAGTTGCAAACAATATTTTTTCTACAACTTCATTTAAATATCGATCATACGAAGCCAAAATTGCATTCTCAATCAAAGGTAGGTGAATTTTAATTATTTTTGGTTTCCTGACAGGTATGTGTCACCATGACACCAGTGTGCGAACTAGCTATTTCGCGTAGAGTTTCACAAGATTCTTGCAAATTTGCAAGATTCTTGAAACTTGAATGGCATTGCATGCAATCGGTTTGGTGTCATTTTTCTTGAAGGTTTTTTAGCAATTACAGTACAATAACAGTTCTTGCAGCAAGTATGGCTAGGAAAATTTTTGGTGATGATGGACAACGACACTGCACACACAATATTGAATTTTAAGCTCAATGTGAAGGCCTTTTCGTTTTCAACCATCAAAGAATCAAATCAATTTTTTTTAAGGTCTGTTAGTATTGTAATGTATAAAATAGTGACGTTAAGGGCCGGTTTATCAATAGAGGGTTACTCCATGAGTTACGGATAACCTTGGATCAAAGTTGTGACAAGCGTTTATCCATCCAGGGTCAACTGCTAACTCGAAAGTTATTCCAGGAAAAAGTTAATCCGCGCTCTCACGGCAAGTTAGCGTATTTGACTCTGGGTTAACCTCAACATTTTCTCTTATTTTCTATCTGATTTTTTAAAAAAATGCTGGTTTTGGCTTGAATTTCGATACTATGAAGAGATAGAGGTCCTAGATTTCAGTGATGATGATTGATGCCCTATTGAGGACTTTCGAAGGACCACCCTTTATTATAGGCCAAAGGGAACCCAAACACATTAACGAGAATTAATACTTTAATTGATTAACCATTTATTGCGGTACAAAACGAATTTTTAATTGATTCTTATTGAAAACAACAACAACGTGATGTCGTGACATGCTCTCGAATTCGTCTCTCCTTATTGGTCGCGCCGAGCGATCCTATTGGTCGCGCTGAGCGATCCTATTGGTCGCTTGCCGTTCTTCCTGCAGCTGTTCTTGCGCGTTGCCAGATCCTTTTGAGTTGCTAGGTTTATTACGGCGTTGCCATGTTTAAGAATGTTGCTACACTTTTGTTCAATATAACAGTCTGATATAAGAAATTTGATTTGAATGTTCAAATAGATTTGAATGTCCAAACAATGATCGAGATGTTCTAGAAGTTGCATGAGCGGCACCTCTATTACAGGCACATGAGGTTTCGGTCAAATCCCTTTGAGGATTTTAACGACGTCGACTTCTTCGCACGTTTTCGCTTGCGAAATGAAACAATTATTTTATTTATTCTAGAACAAATCCAGCATAGCCTTGAATACCCAACAAACCTATGTTTGTTGAGATTGAGAATTCGAAATATTGTTTACTTCTAGACTAGACAGAATACACGAAACCGGCGAACTTTCCGCTAGTGGGTATTCACACCAAAATAGCATGCGATGTACGACTTGCTACTAGAAAAAAATAAGCATGTTATTATTTTCCAACCTAGAAATATATGCCTGGTTTCACACCGGAATGATTGGAACATGTATAGTTTAATAGTTTGTGACGTATGTACCTACTTGCAATACGCACAAACGTAAAGTCTGTTTTTTTTTAAGATAATTCCCCAAGTCAAAAATTTAGTGACTATGTTGGCAACACAAGCTTTTTCTACATAAAAAATTTGAAAGCTTAACAATTTTCCATTGTATTAGGCAATTCAATCCATCTGTCAAAAAGGAAAATTCAATATGGCGTGGCGGCCAAGCAAGTCTGTTTTGAATATGTTTTTATGCGTATTTTAAATTATTCTGCTTAAAGTTTTGTTTGCATCAATGATTTTGATTATTTAATAAAATATTTTTTGATTAGGTACCTAAACTATTAAATCGTACAGAAACTAGATATTTTTTTGTGTTTTTTTTGGCCCATGTGTGGCCGCCATGCCATCTTGAATGTCACGTGGTTTGAATTGCCTAATTGCCAACATTATGTCATTTTGACTTTTATCTTTAAAAAAAAAACAGATTTTAGTTTATTTTTGACTTGTTTCGTAGAGGAGTGGAATATGGTTGTACTGCGCGATATATGAATGCCCAGCTACGGAAATGCAGAAAAAAAAAATATATATATAACATAAATAAGTAAGACTATGAGCAGAAAATGTCAAAAAAACAATAAAAATGAGCTGGCAATGTTGCATAAGTAATGCCAACCTTCGAAGAACTCGAGAGTTTCCCAGCTTTGGGTTAAAAAAGCTTGGATAAACACCGACTTAACTAGGTAGTTAGCCCAGAGTTAGAGTTGACCCAGGGTCAGCCAACTCTGTGAGTTATCCCTTGATTGATAAACCGGCCCTAAGACGAGCTGAAACTGTTTTAAAACAGTTTTTGAAACTGTTTCCTCGAAAAAATAGCCTTAAACCAGGAAAGATGACAATCACGTTATCAATGACAATGACACCCAATGACACCAATCATAATCTTAAGGGCCCCACAGACTATGATGAAACATGACGGTTTTCATCGCCACGATGAAGCACCTCGTTCGAACAGTGTGATAGAAAACCGTCGTGTTTTTCTACCACAAACGCCCCCGACACGCTTTTGAACGTAAATGATTGATGCAAGAGTCTTGCAGCAAGAATCTTGCAACAAGACTCTTGACGTCACAAAACAAAAAATGCAAGAACAAGAAATTGCAAGAAATCTTGTTCGCAAGACAAGATTTTTTTCTGCAAGAGTCGGGTAAGACAACAATGAATTTCATTTCTTGTCTTGTTTTGCAAGACAAGATAAGAATAGGCCTAGCAAGACAAGAAATCTTGTCTTGTGAAACACTAATTTCGCGCACTAGTGTGCGAAATAGCTAGTTCGTGCACGGCGTCATGGGAACGTTAAAAAATCAATACCTGGGAAAAAAAAAGTGTCACTTCGCAAACTGTCATGAGTGTGCGAACATCATCATTTTTTGACAGTTGTAGAAAATAATATATTTCCTAAAGGCCGTTTTACAGCTTGCAAGAAAACTTGAATGCAATTTTTTGCGTGCAAAAAAATTGAATTCAAGATTTCTTGCACGTCGTTTTACACCTTGCAATTAACTTGTTTCCTTCTCTAACCTTAACCATACTTTTTTGTTTTTAATGTTGTGTTATTGATTTTTGCATTTTCTAAAAATAAAAAAAGTGATTATAAGTCGATACCTATAAGAAGAAGAAAGAAATAGCAGCAGCTCTAAGCATCATAATTACTGAAAATTCCCCAGCTTGCACGAAAACCTTCAAGAAAAATGGCACCAAACCGATTGCATGCAATGCCATTCAAGTTTCAAGAATCTTGCAGAAACCAATCAGCTGACTCACTTCTGCGCAAGCCCTCGTTCAAGTTCCTTGCATATTGCAGATAGAATTGCAAGCTGTAAAACGACCTTAACAAGTGCGCAAGATTCAGGAACAGTATTTTTTCTACGAGCGAGAAAATTTATAAATATAAAAAATGAGGCAATAAACTTTAAAAAAGAAAATTCAAAACAAAATACCCATTCAAAAACAACCAAAAACTAATTATATTTGGTTATTGTGAAGGATATTGAGAGATTTTTCGGATGAACTTTGGGGTATCAGACTATTGCAGGCATTGGCGGCTCTATCTAAAATATGTTGTATTTCCTCGTTCTCTTCTGCTGCAATGTTTTCCATTTTTTTGCGAATATCTACGCTTAGGCTCACGATGTAGTTAAAATAACGACCAAAGAAAAGATGATAAATTAATTTGTTTGACACTGACGTGACAGACCTATAAACACTGACGGCAAATGTCATGCAATCATAAGGCCTGTTTC